TATATATATACATATATATAACTGTTGATTTTGCTAAGCGATTTTTTTTTTGCTTTTATGTTTATTATTTGACGTTTAATCAAATTCTCAGCTAAAATATGATATAAGGATGTATGAATATATTTGTATATAGCTTAAGAATCAATGATCGAGCAGTTCTTTCTTGTGTTATTTATCGCATATCTGTTGTGCTGTATCGAGACTTTTTATTTGTTGCACTTTAACGGTCGACTGGAAAACATTTGGCTCAATTTTAGATCTTTTGCAAGCGATATGCATATGATGGTTACATGCTGTTGGTATACTCTTTAGTCTTGTTAGACCGGAGTGCTTTATTTTCTCTAGAAAAGTCATGCACATTGTATAGTTGATTGCTGTGAGAGGTAAATTACAAAAGTTTATTTTGTACTTTTTCTTTCTGCTCAGAAATCTTAGTGATAATATCAAAAATTTTTTTTCATGTTTGATTTTTTTTTTTTTTAATTTAAATTTGTTTAAGGCATAAATCTGGAATTAAAATAGGTTTTTTTTTTTCTGAGTTTAGAGACTATTATAATGTCGTCTGCATCTGGAAGCGGTGGTGTTAATTTAATTTCATCGTTTTTAACTACCGTTAAAGCCGATCTTGACAGCCCAGTGACATCAAATTTTGGATCTCGGATTTTTGAGTATCGTTCTCAGGTATCTTTAAAGTTCATTCGTTCAAGCAATCTAAGTCAGTTTGAAAATCTATGTTTGTTTTTAATCAGAGGAGTTACATTAGTTAGTTCAATTAATCGTCGGTCGTTTTCCGTATCTAGACAAAAGTCACGTGCAAAAGTCAGTTCCATCGGTAACATAATATAAAAGTTTAGGCTCAACATATTGCTGACGAACTAGATGGTGATGTTATTTATTTTGATCGCATTCGAAGAGTTTCTAAAGAAGTAGAGAATCTTTTAGTTTCACTTTCAAGGCAGATGTCGGCTCTGGGTTCGGTCGCCAAAGAAGTTTGTTTTTGTATTTCACTTAATCTATTAAAGTCAGTATTATGTAGCTTATTCTAAACCATAATGGAGTGTAACGGTTGTTTGAGTTTAGATATAGTGTTCAAATTAGTTTATGATCATGTTTTTAAATTGTCGCCTCAACAGAGGAGAAATTTTTAGTTGGCAGAAAAGTGGGCTGCACGAGGTGCTGAAGCTGATGCGGATGGTGCTGCTGCTCTTTTGAAGATGGAATTGTTT